TAGATATAATATCATATTTGCATTTTTTATTTAAAATATTTATATTAAATACATTTTTAGAATTTTTCAAATCTCAAATTCCTTCTTCCTTCACCATATTTCTATATTTTTCAAGTCTCTTTTTCATCATCTGAGAGAAAATTGTGTAGCATTCGATATCTATAGGAGGACCATCATTATGAAAAACAGTTTAAAGTAAAAATTTTTTTCATGTCTTTTTAACCTAAATTTTTAATGTTTTTAAAAAAATAATAAAGTTTGTAAAAATGAATTTCATTATGACCAACGTTTTTTCAATATTTCAGTGTCGCATTTTTAGAAAACCTCATTAAAATCTTTTTAGATATATTTAATTTTTTGTACTTGATTCATGTTGGTATTTCTAATTCGTTGTTTTTGCAAACAAAATAAATTCTTTTTCTTTATAAATCACTAATTATATATATATATATATATATATATTATTTCCAAACTATATTTATATATATATATATTATATATATATATATATATTTATTTAAATATATATATATATATATATATATTATATATATATATATATATATATTTATATATATATATATATATATATATATATAAATATAAATGACAATATGGAAAATTAAATGGACCCAAAAATATATTTTATTTTATTCAAAAAAATTACTTTTGGGAATTAAACAAATAAATATTCCATTTATTTTTTTTTCATTACTTATTGTTAATAATTTTAAAAAAAAATTGATCTTGATAATTAAAAATATATATATATATATATATATATATATATATATATATACTTATTTTAATATATATATATTTATATATATATATATATATATATATATATATATATATATATATATATTATATATATATATATATATATATATATATAAATATATATATATATATATAAAATTTTCAAAAAATCTTGAAAACATAAAACATTGATCACGTTTTCAAAATATAAATTATGTAAAGTAAGTTAATGATATTAAAAATTTGTTGCGAATTTTTCGATAATTTAATTGCATTGAATATTGACTAATTAATTCTTTTTCATAATTAAATAAACTTTATTTATATGATATATATATATAATTTTATCACATTTATATATATATATATAAATATACATATATATATATATATATATATATATATTTGTAAGCAAATTCATTATAATTTTAAATGAATTTTGATAAAAAATTTTTGAGCAATAGAATGGAAATATAAATGTTTATTGGACTCAGCAATTTTCAATCTGCTTGTCTGAATCATCTTCAAGAAGTGAGAAAAAATCTAAAAGGACCAGCCAATCTAACAGTGATCTCATCTCACAATCATCACATTGCTCGATATGTGGCCTTTTGTTAATCATAGCGAGTCTTAAATGCCAGAAAAGATTATTGCAAAAATAATTCATAACTGAATTTTAAAAAAATCAGATCCTCATACGAACAAGTTCACAGGAAATAGTTATATTATTTGGATATATATATATATATATATATATATAAATGTGTGTGTGTGTGTGTGTGTGTAGTGTGTCTTTTTTATATGAATATATATATATATATATATATATATATATATATATATAGTATTTTGTAAATATATATATATATATATATATATATATATATATATATATATATATATTTAAATATATTTTTTTGGTAAAAAAAATTTAACAATAGCATATTATATAAAAAGCAAAATTTATTTATACTGCATTTTTTAAAAAAAAAACTTTCAATTTTTTTGTTTAAACACTTATAAAGTGTTTTTTTTCTGGGATGTCCCGCTAAGAAATAGATTTAATTAATTATTAAAAATATCGAATGTTAAATATATTTCCCGAAATTTTGCTAGAGTCTCAATAAATTCCAGACCCAAAAATTTTATTCCCTCTGTTTAGATCAGGAATTTTTATATAAGTCTTTATATATATAAGGAAACAGAACACATAATTTATGTTAACATTTATTCCGAGATAAAATCGACAAACGGTCCTCAATAAAATCAAATACAAAATTCCTGCTATTTATTACATGCTCAGCAATTGCAGATGAAAAAATTGGTTATTTGGCCTTCCCTCATTTAATTAAAAATTGCAAAAAATAAGTAAAAAATTTAAAAATTTAAAAAAACGTTGGGAATAAATATTAGTCAAGTCCACAAAAATTGATTATATTTATAAATCATTTTTATTAACATGATGGTGGTTTGGGATATATTTACATTCTTGACGAATGGAAAGAAAACAGGAATTATCAAATTTATCACTAGAATATTATTATAAAAATAAATGTATTAATCATAAATTTGATTGCTATTCGTCTATATATAAAGTTTATTTTCGTATGTATTAATATAGGGAAAACGAATAATAAATTATATATATATAAAATGATATTTTTAAAATAAGGCTTTTTTAATTTTAATATTAAATTTTATCATATAAATTTGTATAATTATTATAAATATAAATTTTTTTTTATTACATTTATTTAAAAAAGATCTGAATAGCTATTATATATTTATTTTCGTTGTCAAAATTTTGAATCTTTCTATACTTCGTTTTTGATTGGTTATTCTAGCTTTTGTAACAATGTTTTCCCCCCTATGTAGGATCGTTAATTAATCTGAAACTTTTAAAACCATTTATTTTAAAATTTCAACATCATCACTTGATAAGACACAGAGTTGTTGAAACAAATAATTTTTTTGTAATGATTTTATAACATACTTATGTTATAATTTTTTTTATATAAATATTATATATATATATATATATATATATATATATATATTATAACATAAAAATTTTCAAATTATGTAACAGCATAATTATCCATTCCACAAAATGTTTAATATCTAAAAAAGATAAAAAATAAACTAATTGAGTTTCTTTTTTTTCCAGGTTTTTCAGATAAGACATTTTATCATCTTGACACCATTTGTCGTAAGAATCACTGAAAAAAAAATATTTTTGAGTTATTCAGCTAGAAAAAGAGAACAGGTTAAAATCATTTTTTGTCAGACCCACTGTCTTCCCAAATGAGCAATGGTGAGAGGAAAAAATCATTCAGGCCTTCAGTAATGGTACCAACATTCATACTCTGGCTTCCATCTTCAAAGTCCATTCAAGAACCATCATCAGAAACGGTGAATAAGTTTAAAAAAGAGGGAACAGTAGAGAGGAAAAACTGGATCAGGAGGTCATAAACAGGAAGAGGGATCATCATTTCAACTTAGAGCTAAAGAGATCAATTAGAAAAGATCCAACTCAATCCATAAGACGTTTGGCACGTGAGAGAGGAGTTTCAGCTATGACAGTCAAAAAGGGCAATGTAAAAAGACTTGAAAACAAAATCGTACGTGAGAGGCAGGACAAAAAGTTAGAAGGTTAGAGAGGGGAAGATCATCTTGAATAAGTTGGAAAATGATCCTGGAATATATATATATATATATATATATATATATATATTTGAACTTTATTTCAATCCTTCATAAGCTTCCGATCCTTAGCTATAATTAATTAATGATGAACATATCATTTTCGTTTATGATCGATTTCATCACGAGTCTTCTGTTAAGCTTAGAGTGTAATTATACATTCTTATTAGTTAAATTAGAGTCCAATAGTGTTATAAAAACATCGGTGAAGTCCAGTAAGATATCTTTAATCATTTCTAAAATACAACGGTTCAAAGCTTAATCTAACAATTGGACAATATTGCTTTTAGAAGATTTGAACGATTTTTGTTGTTACACCCGGTATATACTGTCTTTTAGCTTCTTATGATGTTTTGTCCTTTCTTTTGCTTTCTCCAGCAGTTTGCATTAAAAATTGCTGGGGAGATTCCATTATTCTTATCTCTAGACTAAAATCAACACTGTGTCATCTGCATATTTTTTTTTGTTATATTTGTGAATTGCCAATAATGAATCTGGACTGCAGTACTAATTCTCTTTGAATCGCCTCATAAAGCTGGTTGATTAAGTCTCTTTTTTATGAACCCATTCAGTAGGAGTTTTTTATTTTTCTTTCTGTGTTTGCTATCAACACTGTCTCATAGTCAATAATGTTGTGTTGTTAAGATTGTGGTCACTAATAATGAATCCTGGTAGCATTCTTTTCTTCAGAATCGCCTCATTAATTTAATAGATTAAAATCCCGTGTTTTCAATATTCAGATCTATTTTTTTAACACCCAACAAAAATGTTTGCTATCAACACTGTGTCATCTTTATTTTGTTGTGTTGTTAAATTGTTATCACTAATAATGAATCCTGGTAATGATCTAATTCTCTTTGAATTTTATCGCTTGCATAGGTTGATTAAATCCCCATTTAACCCATTCAGTAGGGAGTTTTATATTTTTTTTTTCTGTGTTTCTATCAACACTGTGTCATCTTTTATAATGTTGTGTTGTTAAGATTGTGGCCACTTCTAATGAATTTTAAGCAAATTCTAATTTCTCTCAGAATCGTCTCACTGCATAGGAGTTTTTATAGTTCCCTTCCTATATCTGCTATCAACACTGTGTCATCTGCATATCTTATGTTGTTAAAATTGTGGTCACCAATAATGAATCCTGGTAGGACTTCTAATTCTCTCAGATTCGTCACACTGTAATGGTTGAATAAGCTGAGTTTTATAAATATTATTTGCCTTTTATAAAATTCATTGTATATTCATTAGAAAGATATTTAACAATGTTTACTTCAATGAGCTAAAATGACTATAAAAAGATTATATGAATAATGACACTAATTTTATCCAGTCACCGGTCCCGTGGTGCCATTTGAGTCACGTTTAGAAATAAAAAAAAAGACAGAAGTAATTTGTCATTTTAGTTCTCAGTGTAACAACAATTTTTTTCTTTTCTATTTGTTGTAATTGATTGAACGTCACATTGAAAAGAAAGAGATGGGGTTTTCAATAAGTATCAACAATCATGGATAATTATTATCATTTCAAGAGGAGTAATGTCGGACCGAGCAAAGAAAGAAAGAAATGTAAACCATTCATTGGTTTATTTTTGTATATTCTGCCTTTGTTTTTGATAATATTACATTTATGATGAGCGCTACGCCATTGTTATTGCTGTCGAAAGATCTCGCTTTGTTGTCAAGTGATTTCTTTTCTGCTTCACCAGGAAAGCTGCGAAAAATATTTTTGACATAAATAGGCCCAAGAGTTGTTATCACATTTCTTATAGATGCATTATGTGATCATCTAAAACGCACAAATCAATATATTTCATTTATTAAAAATACAAATATTCAACGCCAAGCATTCCATTGGTTAATTAACATTAATTGATCTATTTTTATAAACAATTTACAAATCGCATTTTCAAACAATTTTGCAATTTCTAATCAGTTCTTTTGAACTTTTTGGGAGAAACGGATTTAAAGCTTTTTTGAGATAGAAATTCGCTGATTGGTCTATGCCAACCAGTCAGATCGTTATCTTCCCTTAATTTTGAAGATTTTCCTGCGCAGCGATCTAGAGCATTCTCAAACAATTTTTGTTTGCAAGAATTTTCTAATTTTTTAGTTTCATTTTTCACTGTCAAACGAATTCATTTTTGAAACCATGCGCCAACCTTCTCACTTACAATTGATTTTTTTTTGGTAATGCTGAAAATAAACATGTATAAATCACATAATCTTTTATTTTTAGTAAAAATAACATTTGTACAAATCATTATCAAGAGAACCCCAACTTGAATCATATTTTCCAGTGAACTTTAGAATACTAAAATAAACCTTAAAGAGAACTTGTTTTTTTTATTTAAACCTTTTCTTACTTAAATGCATTTTTCAATCATTTCGTTGTTTGGTATTGAAAGGCAAAGTTTTGAAGATATTTTTATTGTGACAGGTTAACAGAATCTACGTCAGCTCTGTTTTCTAAATCTAAAGTTAAATTAATGTGGGATAAGTATATCCACAATTACTTGTTGCAGAGTGAATATATGCTTGAATTAATTATAAATCAAAAAGATATTTTTTAGTTTGGTTTGGCAGGGTGAATAAAATATCATCTCCACAAACATTTAAATTTTTTTTGGCACAATTTAAACCAAAATCCAAAATATAAAACAACGATATATTTTCTAATTAACAACAAAACATTTTTTTTAATCAATAAGTATACAAGACTTAAAAATAATTTAACTTATACTGAGTTAAATTGATGATTATTTGTCAATACTTCCTCATGGCAAATTAAAATGTCTAATTAATCAATGCATGTAAGATGTATGTAAATTTGTAGCATTTACAATTAATAATTTAACATGATGATTTAGTCACCTTTAACTTGAAATACTTAAAGCCTTTTTTGTTTAAATATCTTTTTTTCTGAATTCACTGAGAAAATGATTTCATTTCATGAAATAAAGTTTAGCTAGTTGAAAGAAATTTTTTCGATAAAAAATATAATAGGGCTGAAAGTTCGTTTGAGAAGAGTCCAATGAAATTTATTTAGTGCAAGAAAATTGTAGTTTTCACTTGCAATATCAAGAACTTGTGTTTAGCACTAAAAATGTATTCTTTAGTTTTCTAAACTTCTGAATTAGTTTTATTGATTTTGTAATTTGAAATAACCTGCCTTAAATTGTTCACCGAAGAGATCTGAATATCTATCTATGAAAATTTTGGAAAGAAGAGAATATGTTGAATCGTAACTTGATAGCTCCAGAAGATTTGAATCAGCATCAATTTTTCTTTTAGTTTCATAAATGCCGAATTTTGTATCATTTTTATTTATTCAAAGGATCAGAGAGCCTTTACAATCATTTAGTAAATATTTTCAGGAAATATCAGCTTCTAATTGCTCAATAAACATCAAAAGTGGGCGTTAAATGTCCACCCATGTTGTATTTTTTTTTGTAGCGCGTGACCAATTTTTTTTGCCATTTAATTTGTGCTTTGATCCTGTCCATTTTTACATTTTCTCTATAAATAATGGCAAAGTTCATTTGATTATCTTTAACCTGTCCAAATTGTAATTGGTTTTGTTCTCGTCTCGGACCCTTATGGCCATACGTTTTAGCGTATTCACGTGTTTGTTTATATACGAAAATTTTTTAAACCTATTTTACAAACATACAGAACATTTCCAATAAAAAAATATTTAACTTTTCTAAAGTTACAGTTTAATAATTTGAATATGAAAATTTTTTGAGTCCAGATAAAAAATATCCCAGTCTAAGAGACATAACTCCATCAGATCTTTAACTTTAAACGCATGTACATCAAATCACACAAATAAATACAAATGTTATATTTTTAAAAAACATTTTGTTCCTTCTTTTTCTTTTTCATGTTTTGTGGTAATTTTACGTTTAATATAAATTGTGTGGTTAAACACCTTATTCACGCAGCCGTAAACAGAATTCAATTGTCCATTCTTGATAACTAAGCTCACAGTACAATAATAATGGTGTTGCAGAATTTGAGCTAATTGGAGGTATCAGAAGGTGTAATTGTGAAGGCTTAAAATGTATTTGTTTTTAAACATTCATCCACAACAAATAAAATAAACAAATATTTGAAGGCAATTCAATTGGAAGAAATCAAGGAGAAAAAACGTAGTTATAGATTTCAACAAATAACCTGCATTTATATATGTTTGATATACACAAGTGAATTTTAAGATTGCTTGTTCAATGTGATAAGTGAGATAAAATTGTAAGGAGTAACTATGCAGTGATTTGGTGTATGAAAGCTTGTAGTTAAGGTTTGTCCATGAAATTAAAACAGTTTGATTTCTATAAGGTGAAATGTCACTTGTGTGGGTTCAAATACCAGTGTGTATGTGTGCGACAATTGTAAACATTGTTTAAAGCCATAAGGAGTTATGTGCCTTTGACTGATATGATGTAAGTTGACTAAATACAATTACTACTTCGGCAGTGATAATGTCACTTTTTCTAGTAAATTTGAAGTTGAGTCAATTCGCGGCAAGACTTTCTGAGTTGTGTTGAGCTGCTGAGAGAGAGAGAGAAGAAGAGTTGAGAGAGATTTTCTTGAGAGCTGTTGAGTCAGTGCGTGGAATCATTTTTGTTGTCATCACTCAAAGGCTTAGTTACTGACTGGCATGTTGAGGTTGATTAAATGTACAATTACTATGTCATAGTGGTAATGTCACTTTTTTAGTCAATTGTAATTTAAATATCTTCATGCGGCAATAGCTGTGTGGGTTGTGTTGAGTTGCTGAAAGAGAGTGGTGGTTGTTGAGTCAATGTGTTGGCGCGCGTGGAGTTTGTTGGCATCTCTCGCAACTTATTTACTGACTGGTTGAATCAAGCCAAGGGATTCTATTTATTGACTTTTTGGGTGAGCGGGAAAACAGATTTGTCGCAACTTGCTACATTTTTTCGGTCCTTTTAACCAATGAGGAGTCAAGTTTGAAAAAGTGAAGTGATGATTGGTTAAAGTTGATTTGGGGGAAGAGTGCATTATTCCGTAGGGGTGACAGGCAAATATAGAGGATTCCATAATGGTAACTCCGGCGTCTGAAACAACTAGACCACTACAGATTTTAAGTAATATTTCTCGCTGGTAAAAAAAAAAACAAAACAAAAAAAAAACTGGCTTTCAAAGGGTTTCACTGATGAGATGCGTTGGTGTTTGCTATTTATTTGATTTTTGATCACATGATCGGCTCCGAAGAAAATCTTGTCGGGCAAAACAAGATTGCGTAGGTGTTATACACGTTTTATATTTATTAGCCAATCAGCAATTAGATCTGAACGAAGTCTCTGTGATCCACTTTGGAACAAATATTTTGCCCTTTGCAAGAAAGTATTACATAGTAAATACATTGCGATATTTCCCGACCAATAGAATTTGTCGAACTGAAAATAATAATCAAAACTGAAGACGATTGCTAAATACTAAATGAGGCTGTCTTAAGAGCGTACAATGAGGGACTAAAAGTCTGACACTCGACTTGAGGAGATAAGGTTTTAATGGTCCGGGAAGCATCTTTTCGGGTGTCTGTTCCGCACAGTAGCAGTCCCGAGGAATAAGCTGTCTGAGTGGAACATCCTCTTTACAAATTGAATATAAAAGGAATGAGCATGAGTCGGCTCAGTGTATGTGGCATGGCAGGTTTGGTTTGGTTTATTTTGTTTACGGCATATCAACACCCCAATGGGTTATTTAATGCCAATACAATTTTGAGGATACGTTCGTAGGAATAGAATGTATTCTATGTAAGAAGTCAGTTTATAGACCAGATTTCATCAATGTATTTTTGTAAAGTGGGTTTCCCGGGAGTTAAATGTATTGTTGGTAATATTTTTTTCTCAAAAATGTATAGCTGGTATTTTTACTATAAAATCTATTTTTTTTATATTTTCATAGTGTTTTGACCCCAGTTAGGGGCTTAACAATTTGCCCATAGCTAGGACACTAACAGGTTATGATCTTACAAAAAAGAAAAAAATTCTTAAATTTCCATATTAGTAAAAAACGTACTCTCTTAAGTTTTAAAAAAAAAAATTCAACCTTATCGTTGCGACTGCACGCTCCAAAAGTTTGTATCCGTTAACAATAACACATTTCAAAGGAAACATATTTCGATTCGCATTTAATTTTTCGTTTCGGATGCTACCGGAATTTTACACAAAAACAAAATAATTTCCATGCCTGAAGATGACTGAATGTACAGTTGAAAGTACTTGCGTATTTAAGAAAGACCTTATACAGCATTTAATTTTTAAAAGCAACGATCATAACATTCATCGAGTGATTTGTAGGTTAATGCACTTTTAAAATTTTGTTTGCGCAGGGATTTCCCCATTTTATATCATTAAATTTACTAAATCTTCGTTTTGTATGAATGATTCAGTGTAATATATATATATATATATATATATATATATATATATATATATATAGCCACAAAATTAGATCTGTCGCTTCCCCTACCTTGGTTTCAGCCATTTCGGTATCTTCAGGCGATTTCAGTCAATTAATTTAAACGCTTTATTTGCTATTTTAAAAAAAATTAATGAACTCTATATTATTTAAAAATAGACAAGTAAATAAATCAGCGTACGATGTGAAGTGTGACAGAAGGGGAGGAGGAGGAGGAGGAGGAGGAGGAGGAGGAGGAGGAGGAGGAGAAAAGCAAGGTTATTGGAAATGTATCAGTGGAGGGTTAAATCAAATATACATAATTTCTTTTCATCCCACTTCATATGAATCCAAAAAGAACTTTTTAGTATGTATAAAACGAGTCATAATTTCTGATCTCTCATTCGTTGATATGATTGTTGTAAGGTCTTGCTTCTTTTTTTAAAAAATTTTCCAGTTTACAATCGGATTTTTTAAATTTTTTCCTTTAGTTTCTACACATGGTTGGCTGGTCTAATAGAATTCTTAAAACTTTCTAGCTTAAAAGATGACTTGTGATTGTATCACCTGTTATTAAACTTAGCTTCAGTAAACCCTATGTATATTTTTTCTGGCTATTTGTATCTATTACTCCTGGTTTGTAAATTATTGCTTCAGTTTTACAAACTCCATCTAATGGACATCTGCTTTTATTTCTACAGTTGCATATTTCAGTGTTAACATTGTTTTACTGCACGTTTATTTTGAAATTTCCGTCGTTTTGTCTTTTTTTATTGCGGTTTCTAAATTATTAATACAGCTGTAGCTTAATTTAACTCTGTTTTTTAAAAAATATTTTATGTAATTCGGAGATTTTGAGGAGTTAAGTAATTTGAAAAATATTTGCCTTATTTTATACTTGATCATTAAGTTAAAAAGTGGGATTAAACCAAATGATATTTTTCTTTCTGTTTATTTTTTGGTCGAATTGTTCTTCATTTGTTTTTCTTTTATTTCAGGTTTAAATTCCAGTTTGGTTTTATGCTCCTATTGAGGAAATCAATTGCCCCAAATCTCCTGAAGATAACGAAAGGTTGAAACCAACGTAGTAAATTCGACTGCTGTTTTTATTTTTTAAACGTATTGACAACTTTTAATACTACTACTAATCTTGTCTATTTTCAATCTGACCATTAACTATTTTATTATATATATATATATATATATATATATATATATATATATATATATATATATATACTACTAATAGTAATAATACTTTTTGGTAAAAAACCTCATAGCTCATCTTGTAGATATGTCAAAATCGAAATCGGTAGCCGAGGAAAAATTGAAATATAAAAGAAAGAACTAAAACATTTGAACAGGGCGAAATAAATTTTCAAAGTAGGAAGGCTTTAATCCAAAGTAAAAAACTTTTTTGAGTAGTAAGACTAAAACGTAGAGTGCTCAATACGCTATGTTAATTATCTTAAAAGTTTTAAAAAGCAGAAAAACTTTTATTAGGTTTTTTTTAAACGGATCTTCAGGGTACTGGTTTTAGGTTTTTGGCTTTCTTTAGGATTTATTTTAGTTCTTTATATATATATATATATATATATATATATATATAAACTGTGTGTGTGTGTGTGTGTGTGTGTGTGTGTGAAATTATATTTAATAAGATCCAAACAATTTTTTATTTGAAGATGATCATATGTCCATGGGAAAGTAGCCTTTTCCTGGACTTATCAATCCAAATACATTTACTAACACTAAGATTTAATTATATGGTCTCTAATAAAAATTATATTGAGCTCTCTTTTGTGGATCACTTTAATATTTTATATTAATAGGATCTACTTGGATTACTTATCCACGGATTTATATATTGTCATGGTCCGGTGATAGTCCAAGGTAGAACCAATAAAGAAGAAATCGAATACGGATATGGAATAACACAGATATATTACAAACAGGAATATATACAGAGAGGTAGAAAGTGTTAGTACGAACAATCAGGTTTAGTAGTAATTGTCTGAACGCGACTCTGTTTCGGACTGCCTCTGACTCGACTGACTGACTCGCTCGCCTGCCTGACTGACTGACAGACTTCTGACGGACCTCACTCCAGACTTCAAATTGAACTCTTTGCTTTGCTTTTGAGGCGCAGTATTTATTACGTATGGAATAGTCCATTATGTTATCAGGGTAAGGTCCTTTTAACGTTTATATATATATATATATATATATATTTATATATATATATATATATATATATATATATATATTAAAATATCAACAAAAACGAACGTCTATTATGTTTGATCCATTTTAAACTGTATATTTGCTTTAATTTAGTGAAATTAAAGATTTAATTGTCCAACATATGTGTGTATATATATATATATATATATATATATATATATATATATATATATATATATATATATATATATTTATGGTGTAAATATAAACATACATATGCAAATATATATACATACGCAACACATACATATATATTTTCTTTCCTGGACATTTTAGAATCCAGGTAGAACTCAATGTCCAGGACAGAGTAAGGATATAATAAAAAGTCTTAAACACTAATATTCCATGGAATATTAGTGTTTAAGCTTTTTTATATATATATATATATATATATATATATATATATATATATTGTATATATATATATATATATATATAAAATTGTATATATATATATATAAATTGTATATATAAATTGTATATATATATATATATATATATATATATATATATATATATATATATATATATATGTAATATTATACAATGAGTGCATAATTTAATGCTGTAGTGTCAGTTACATTCTGGCAGTTTGCAAATAAAGACTATTGACGACAGATAATGATAATTTTCTTGGTCTTTTCTTGTTCTCCTCAAAACAAATCGGCTTATAACAAATACAATAAAAAATAGAATGAGAAAAGCAGTTTACAAAAAACAACGATTCCTTCAACAAAAAATTTTCTTTCCTCCTTGTGGTATCCGTTCCAAATTTGCAGAATATGTTCTTTTGGAACGGTCGTTGCATGTCTTGGCACTTCGGGAAACCAATATAAATTCTTCCATTGCTACAAATTAATTCTCTGTTGCAGGCTACCTTCCGAAAAGATTCCACCATTCACATGCAAAGCATTGGTGTTTACATCCAGGATTATCTTCTAATGGCAAGAGAATTGTCACTCGACCCCCAGACAATTCTTCATTTGCTTTCGATTTTCATTATTCCACTCTGTTAGCTATCTCCTTTTCCTTTATCGCTCCCCCTCTTCTCAGGACTACATCATATTAGACACAATCTCTAACAATATATAGAAACGGAACTCTACATCCATCCGCGAACATCTTTGTGTTCGGTGGTTGTAATGCGCATCACGACACCTGGCTTAAACATTCTAATGTTACTGACCTTGCCGGTATGCAGACATACAATTTTCCAAATTGTGAACTACCTTATTCGTTTCCTTAGCAAATGTGAGTAATAGTTCACATCACTGTCCTCTTGGCACTCGGATCACTCTTTAATATTGAAATTTCATTCCAATTATCTATTAGACAGGAATCTTCTATTCATAAAATCTCTTTCTTTACCAGCATGCTGATTGGGATTCACTTCGTGACTTTCTTCGAGGCTCCTCGGGGACTGACATTTTTAACCTTAATATTGATAGTTACCTCAGAGAGGTTTTCTTTGAAATTTGGTATAGAGGCAATAATTACTTTATGAAAATACTCCATTTTTCCAAGGTTGATATCGGTGCTATGTCTGCCGCTTCCTATCCTAGAAGATTTCATTATTTCTAACTTTAACCAGCCAATTCCTGGGTCCATCAAACAGGTACCTATTCGTGGCTTGAAGTAATAATCTATCTAAAATAGTCCTTTTATTCCATATCTATCTATCTATCTATCATTTATCTATCCTATCTATCCATCCATCATCCATCATCTATCACAGCGTGTTATATTCTAATCCATCTATCTATCCATCTATCTATCTATCTATTCATCCATCTATCCATCCATCTCAAAAGGTGTTCATATCTATCTATTTATCTATCCATCTATCCATCTATCCATCTATCTATCCCAGAAACGTGTTCATAATCATCTATCTATCTATCTATCTATTTATCGATCCATCTATCCATCTATCTATCTCATAATGTTCAAATTAGATCATCTATCTATCCATCCATCTATCCATCTATCTATCTATCTCAGCGTCTTCACATCTATCTATCTATTCATCTATCTATCCATTCATCTATCTATCTATCTATCTCTTCATGTTCATATTTATCTATGCTTATCAGCATCTATCTATCTATCTATCTATCTATCTCAGCGTGTTCATATCTATCTATCTATCTATCTATCTCGCTCTGTTCATACCTATTTATCTATGCGCATTAGCATCTATCTATCTATCTATCTATCTATCTATCTATCTATCTATCTATCTATCTATCTATGTTTGTTTCACGTTTTATCTAGGCCGCATCACCGGTTCTTGAAATATTCAAAATGGTTTGATTCCTTTCGGACAGACCGCGTAGATGCGTGACTATGTGTGCAAATGATATTTTGCACCTGAAAGACTTCTCTTTGTCGAAGATAACATCTATTGGTTGTAAAATGTGCAATTAAAATGCAAAGACGACGCTGAGTAAAGTTGAAACCCCACAAGAGTGCACAATACGATTTCCCCGTCTGGCTAACATCGACAAGCCGAACGATCGCAGTAAGAATCTGTTTCAAAATAAAGCCAAAACAAAGCGACGTCCCTAAACAGAAGAAAATGGCGCTTATCGGAAATCAAATCTTTAAGTCAAAAAGCACAAAAAGTAATCATTGAAAAATTGTTGCAAAAAAAATTCTTTTTTTTTCATTCGTTCAAGAATCCATCAATACAACGTGCAGCAGAGAAGACAATAAAATTCAGTTGGTTGCTGCCGCTCAAAGTAATCTCCCTTGACAGCCGTCTGCGTGTGACTTGTCTGAATGAATTACGACTCGGTCCTAGCCAAGACGCAAACGTCCCCGGCGTAATAATTTACACTGTCTGTGAAACGATGCGTTGGCAGCTGTATCCTTCCGCCGGGGCTTTATATCGAAGTGACATTGATGAGAAAAGAAATGGTGTCGTGAACGGTCTTCTTTTTTTTTCTTTTTTTTTCGCCTTCTTCCACGATGATATTTTGCAATGATATACGTGTAATATGAATGTGGTTAATGTGATGTGATTGACACTGGCACAATCTGATAACGTCTGCTTATTTATACGATCTCTTTCTTTCTTTCTAAAACAAAACAAAACAAAACAAAAAAACAAAAATGGTTTGTTTCTTTTTTTTTCTTTTTAGAGGCGAGGGGTGGAAAAAGCGGGAAAAATTCCGGGCAGACACGTTTTTTTGGCGCAAAAAACATGCGAATCCATAAAGATAAGATGGCGGATAGTATTTTTAAAACATATAAAACATCAAAGTCTTCGTTTCGCACTGCGGGAGTGTGATAAATTGCATGACACTTTTATTTTATTGGAGGAAAGCGAGTGTCTGACTTTAAACGTGCCCGGCCACGTTGTATCAAACAATCGCTGTGTTTATCTGAAATTCTTATATTATATCAATATCGATATAAGTGGTTGGAGAATTACAATTGTCTCCCCCCCACCCCCTTATTATCAACGACTATGTATATAGTGGCGTATGGCTTCGGAATTAAAATGAACAGTTGATTTACTCACGCCAAGAAGATTAATGAACGATGCTAAAGACGAAGAAACACATGGGTAATTTTAACAAAACAAGATAAGGAATTTATTTACGAATTTCGACGCTTGAAGAAAAATAAATCAGAATTCTGAAAAACCGTAGTTTTATCGAATTGTCATAAAGAGGATATGTTCATATAACACATTAAATTATCTGATAAAAAATATTAAAAAAATGTCTAAAACGAAGGTACGTTACTCACAGAAGGAATATATATATATATATATATATATATATATATATATATATATATGTATGTATATATTTGCATACGTTCAAAAGTAGACGAAGATAGTTTGAAATACTTAGCTTTCTTCGATTGTGAAGGAAAATTCTTTGAAGTGCCACGTACGTGGCTAAAAGCCGATAATATAGTTGGCGAGTAATTTGACACTGGCGAAAACTTCAACGCTGGACGCGTTCAACAGAAACGAAACATTTCACATTGCTTCAGAAACTCTTCTCTTATTAATTTAGTTTTTCTCCTTATTTAATATAAAAAAAGAATTTCGCATAGGTTCGCTACTATTTTTTTTTCGGTTGTGAGGACAAGGTATTCATTGGTCCAAATGAAATTTCACATACGCACGCGAATACTTTCCCTCTTTTCGACCTTCATCTGAATTTGAAAGGAGTGTGTAAAGTAAGTTATAATTATTTCGTACTTACTACGTCGGCAAAACGAGTCGTTGCAAATACAAATTCTATTTCATCTTGTTATCCCGACACTCTGGCACACAGAAACCATCTGAAGATATTAAGCAAATCACATAAAGCGTCTCCGATCCCTTGTGGGTGAGAAAATAATCTCCACGCTCCATACTGTCGATCACAAGCGAGATATGGTTTATCGCTACTTACATGGAAAGTGCACGGACGAAATGCATTCCTTCCTGATGTTAAGTATAAGTTTGCTTTATGTTTCCATATTCTCTAAAACCTCATCGTTTCTCAAATGTTTGGTCCATGGTATTCACAGCACACTTTTGTTGAACTACATTTCTGTTGTTTCAAGTCTCTTCTTCATCACTGAGGAGATTGTCCAGCATTCACTGTTATATAGGAGGACTGATATTACGTAACATTTTTCTAAAGAAGAAATTTCTTTTCTGCTTCAAGTCTCTTCTTCATCTGTAAGGAGATTGTCCAGCATTCACTGCCATATAGGAGGACTGATATTACATAACAGTTCAGTAAATTTTTCTTTGCTTCCGGTTGCTTCAAGTCTCTTCTTCATCTGTGAGGAGATTGTCCAGCATTCACTGCCATATAGGAGGACGGATTTTACGTAATAAAAAAACTCTTTTCTTTGTTTCTCTTGCTTCAAATCTCTTCTTCATTTGTGAGGAGATTGTCCAGCATTCTCTGTCATATAGGAGGACTGATATTACGTAAAAGTTCAGTACTCTTTTCTTTGTTTCTCTTGCTTCAAGTCTCTTCTTAATCTGAAAGGAAATTGCGCAGCATTCACTGTTATATAGGAGGACTGATATTACGTAACATTTCAGTACCCTTTTCTTTTGTTTCTGTTGTTTTCAAGTCCTCTTCTTCATCTGTAAGGAGATTGTCCAGCATTCACTGCCATATAGGAGGACTGATATTACGTAACAGTTCAGTACTCTTTTCTTTTAACTCTTTGCTTCAAGTCTCTTCTTCATCTGTGAGGAGATTGTCCAGCATTCGCTGCCATATACGAGGACTGATATCAAGTAACATTTCAGTAGTCTTTTCTTTGTTTATCCTGTTTCACGTCTCTTCATCATCTGAGTGGAGGAGAAGATCCAGGATTCACTGCCATATAGGAGAACTGTTTTTCCGTAATATTTCCCTTCTCTTTTCTTTGTTTCGAAAGAATTGTTCTATCTTTTAATACTCTTCTCAGCCTTTGACATGCATTTCAGAATTTGTTCTTGAAATAATTTTAAGACTGGCTTCGTAAATAAAATTTACCCTGGTTTTACAAGTGATTGCCGAACAAGAATCTTAGGAAATTTTGTTAATACATCGAAAACCATCGCCATTGTCCTAGGAACATTTTACTGTTTTTAACGTTTTAAAAATATACGGAGGTGGACCCGGTGAGGCAAGTTCAACCGGCATGTGCAGTCAATGAATGCCGATTGTTTCCTTATAAGGAAATGGTTACTATTACTATTTGAGATGAGAGAACAGATATTACACTTTGATCCCAGTTCGATTGACCAGGCCGGGAAGTAAGGCATGATTTGAGCAGCACTGGCTGCTCGGTCAACGAAATCGGAAAGAAGGATCTTGATAAATAGAAGAAAAAGCCTCAAAACATTCTTGGGATAGATAGGGGATTGTTTTTCTACTCACAGCCTGGAATTTTTTATAATCATAAAGTGGCTGCCATTCATATCTAAATAGCTCAGTCTATACTGAGCGAGGAGAGAAGTGATAGATTTATACTTTTTCCGACGCTATTAGTGTGAAAATAAAAACAAAAACTTGGTTTGCCAATATTTTCAAAATTTATCTTTGTTTTCATTGGTTGCACAGACGTATGTAAAGGTAATGAAAACAAAAGAACGCCAAATTTAAAACTGATTGTGACGCTCATCACACACATACATATATACTTACACAAATACAAATCATACAACGACAAACATTCATTGGATAATAAATCAACACTACTTTGTAATAGACAATTTACAAATCGCAGCAATGCGACAATTTTGTAATCGCTCTATTTTCATGTAGTCGATTTTATAGACTTTTGGGAGAAACGGATCCCAGAAGCTTTCATGAGTCTCCCCAAAACTCGCTCGCTGATTGGTCAATGCCAACCAATCACATTGTCTGCACGTGAAGAACAATTCTTCCCGCACAGCGATTCGGAGCCGATGATCACCTATATAAGCAAAGCATATTCTTAGATCATTAGTGAGATTTCAGCTGCCAAACAAATCCACGACAGTTGAAACCATGCGCCAATCTTCTCACTCACACCACCACTCACATGTTGAATATTCCTTACACTCGCATAATCTTTTCCTTACACAGCAAAACTGTTGAAAACATTTATTACCAGAAACTGTCAAAAACTTTCTTTCTTTCAGTGAACTTTGGAATACAAATAATAATTAAAGAGAGACAACTCTTGTTTTACTCAATGCATGCCTTCTTTCACATCCTTGTTTGTACATCTTGTTAAATACATATTTTATTTATAATGATGTCTTTGGCTTTAACTTAAGAATTACGTATTTTAGAAGCTCCCAAGAATTAACGTTTTGTTTTTTAAATATTTTATATATTAAAAAAAAGAAATGAAATAGTCGTACATAAATAAACAAATTCAAATAT